AGAAAAATAATTGAAGACTATTTGAAAAAATTCTCATCACAAAGAGAATTAATTAAGGTTAATAAACTGGGAGTGTATGTATGTGGTTTTCGAATTTTCAACTCCCAAATAATTTTCCACATCTCTTATTGGACTTGTAAAACATCTCGACAAATTCTTTCTTTCAACACAAAATCTTTCGGGCTTATGACTAGTATAGAAGTGCCAATTCTCCGTATAACCCGGCTGGCAGAATTGGCTGAAAAGCTTGGGACCTCGCGTTTCAGAGGAAGTGCTGCTGGTTCGAGCCTGTCGCGGGGATAATATTTTGTCACAACTCTGTTGATGCAAAACACTATTGAGAATTTCAAAAACTTTATTGAAAATCATTTGATGCAATACTTCTTACATAAACAATTTGTTAGGATTCGAAATAAATTGAAAGTGTCTGTATGTCATTTGTAAAATTTCTCTTGTTCTATTTTTAAAAGGTATGTCTCATCAAATTAATTGTTCAATACAATATGCAAATTATAATATTGTGGAGCGTTTAGATACATTGCGAGAAAGTATGTACTTTAGCAGCACCACTATATGTTAATTTACATCAGTAAGGTGTCGTAAATTCCAGTGAAAAATTTGGATTCAACCATGGTGTTTAAAGTTTAATTCAGCTTTATATGTAAAATCTCTGACACAATTCTCGCATTTTCCTATGGTCCTTAGTCTACAATCTTTACCTGTTTAAGATCCAGGACATATCCTGTTTCAACCCAATGTTTCAAGATCGAGTTAAGTTTAAACAGGAAACGGGACATTATTGAAGGTCAAGTTGAAGAATGGCGGGGACATTATGGAATCGCGGATTTTCGGCCTTGTACCGATGAAACACAGAGACGCGCCCAGATAGAGGAGAGGACAATAGGGTTGGATTCTGGTTTCTCGTGTGCCGCCGCCGAATTAAATTCTCGTGTCCCCGCGGACTCCGCGACCGGAAGGAAGGGTGTCGCAGAGAACTCAGTATAGTGGAGATTTAGAGTGGCAGAAGCAGGCTACACGCTAGTATTGCCGGATTGCGTATGAATGCGTTCCTCGTGACCTTATTTTACGGACAACCTCAGTAGTTTGTGAATGTATTTTACAAAATGAGCGAAGTGATGTTTTGTCATTGAACCCTAGTACAGATCGAGTGTAGACACAGTTACAGACCACTAGTATAATGCAGACTGCAGACAAAGTGAATCTCTGCATCAATATGTGAGTTGGAAACACTTCCAGCATGGATGACGAGACTGGCGGGCACGAGCGGCGAAACGTAAGACTCGTGCGGATATAGGTGCAGAGAGAGGCTCAGTGACTCGTTGAGATATAATAGTTGAAAGAAACCTTCTCTAAAACAGAAGGAAAGAGGGATCTCAAGGGAGGGTTCCTCAGAGCGATATCGTACCGTTTTACATCGCTTAAAAGTTTCAAAGTTGATATTGTCAATCTCCTCGTACCTATCAGATAAAAATTATACATTCTGAATTTTCAACGGATCCGCGGAGAATTACACTTCCTCTCTAAGAAGCATAACTTTCCCGTCTGAGGAAGAGCCGCCGCCGCCGCCTCGACCTGGGCGGGCGGGGAGAAGACAGCCTGGCCTTGACAGATATCCCGAACTCCAGAATGTTGAAGCGTGAGAACGAAGTTGCAAGAGAATCAGTTATCGTTGCAGGCGGTCCTTGAGTTCAACTGAGCTCCCCCTGGGGAGGATGGCTTCGCCATTCCTCCTGAGGTAAGCGACGCCATGATGATTTTTTAATTGGTAGAGTTATAGTATATTGATAGTAAATACATTGAGCTGTATTGCAAATACAAAGTGGTGCCAGAACAATAGATGAAAGTTTTGGTTCTACTCCCTGTCTGTGAAGAATTTATGACGAGGTTCAAAAAAAAACTAATGAAGACCCATAATTGCAAATACTGTTGCTACGTTGTACATAGATTACCAGAAGACATCGCAGCTATTCCAGTTATAGGGGCTCCCAAAGAAAACAAGAAGGCTGGGGCAGCAGCTCCACGGGAACCCCTTATGTCAAACAAATGCAATCCGCCGCCATACGTAAACGGAATTCATTTCTTCATGCAACCGAAATGACTTGTAACGGTTAATTTAAATTAGACGTGAATGTTTTAATTGTTTTTAATAAAAAAATTGTCGGACCCCAATTAGATCGGAGTCTGGGGCAATGTTCCCCTCCTTCTCGGCGTCCCCTTCACATTTCTGGCCTTAAAAGAAGCAATCTTTCAAATGCAACTTTTTTTGAAAAATAAAAATACTTAATTAGTAAACACTTTCTGTTGAATGTTTTCATGAAACTAATCATTTGTGACAAATGTCGTGACTCGGGTGGGTGAGAGAATGTGTAGGGGCAGAAAAGGGGATGATGAAGTGGGAAAAGAGGTAGTAGGGAGATTCTGATTGGATTGACTACGAGGACAACTCCTGAAGAAATAGGGACAGAAAAAGCCGTTGACCGGATTTTTAACTTCTATTGGAGGTATTTCGAAAACTGTTCTCTGCTGAGAATTATTGCTTTGAATTTACTGAATTTTATGATGTGAACTAGTTCGACTCGTACCGTGTCCGTACCCGAGAAATCTCGACGAAATTGTTTATTGTTGTGAGTACTATGTAATTTAAGGTTCCTGTGACGTTTTGCGGCGCCTTTGTCAGTTCTGCCGATTTCACGATAAATAAGGGCAGATATTTTATTTTAACGAACACTCCAAATCCAAATTCGAAGGAAATTCGAAGCGGGCGACTTATGTTTGACGCCAAATTACACAAAAATACTCATATTTTCATGACCTTATTTGAAGATGTTTTTAATGAACACAATTCATTTAGCGAAAATGTTTTTCTTCATAATTGTAGTTGTAGGAAGGCGTCAAAAAAAAATCAATTTTTGCAATTTTCAACAACATGAGACATGCACCATTCTTTTATGCGGCTATCTGAGGCCAACAGATGAATCGATTGCACGATCATGTCGGTCGCAGACGATTCTTTTTTTCGTCGTGACCGATTATTCCAGACCGATATGATGTAGCGTCGCATGTATACTTCTCGCAGGTGTGGAGAGGATAGTAATGTTTAGTCGGAGAAGCGGTGGGAAGTACAATTTTACTGAAGTGCTATAAATACTAAGTTACAAGTGAAGAAAAAAATAACTTTCCAATATTTTGAAGCCGTTGTTTGCCGATTTTCTTGATTCCACACACTTTTATGTATTTATTTTGCTGATCATTCTTCAGAAATAGGTAAACAATAATTTTGTTCAAGGTTATGATATTTGAAATGTGACATTTAAAAGTAATTCTTTAATTTTCAGTGGAGGCTTACTTTTGAAAATTGTTTCTATATTACACTGGTTGGATCCTTTTTTAATGTTATGCTCCTTGAAAAGTTGCTGTCAACTGAAAAGAGTTATGAACCTGCCTTTCAAAAAATGTAATAAGAAGTGTGTCAAAGTTTTGATGAAACGTTATATTTACTGTTTGAAATGTTGCTACCCAATATTTAAATACCAGCTTTTAAATTATGTTTTTTTTTTCGTTCATTTTGTTACAATTTTATGTAGTGCTTTAAGGAAATGGTTTTGAAAACTAGCATAGTTTCCATAGAATGTGAAGTAAAGAACTTATAAAAATCTCCTAGTTTGTAGTTTAAATTGTTTTGTATTGTAAAAAAATTAATATACATGTTACTTATCATAAATTACAAGTTGTGGTTTCGGTGAATCAGACACCAGAAATTACAGGTGTGATGATACTCTTTATGTTTTACTTTTATGTAAAAACGCCTACTTGAAAGTTACTTTTAACAGTAGTTTCAGTATTTTGTTGTAGAGTTCATTGCATGTTCAAATTTTGATTGGTGAAATATTAAACATTTTGGATTTGTAATTCTTTATCAGGGCTAGAACTTCTTTTAGAATTTTGGGATTAAGTAATTCAATTTTGTTATAAGTGTTTGCAATCTTAAGTTCTTCACTGTACTGGTAATCCTACATACTTTTATAATACGATGTAAGAAGTATTTCATTTATTTCAATGATTGTTCACTTCCATTGCATTCAGTATTGGAGGTCATTAAGTAGGAAATTATATTCTGTATAAATTTATATAGGTACAAGGAATAATTTCTTAGAGATCTTTGCAATGACAACATGAAGAAAATAATACTTCTATAATAATAGAATCTATCACAGGATAAATGCCATAATGTACTGATCAATTGAGCAACTATTGTTATAAATTTGAAATACCTGTCTATGAATTCAGATAGTGTCCAGGTGATCTGAGGTTTTCTTTGAAAGTATTGTTCATTTGTGCTTAATATAATATGTATACTACATGTATAAAATGTATAATGCCTGTAACACCCCCTCCCCCTCACCCAGGTGCTCCATTGCTGTTAAAGTATGTTAGTTAATAATAGTTTGTGCATACTGAACTTTGAAATTCCATGAAATTTGTGTATAATATATGGTGTGTAAAAACTAAATTCTTGAACAGAGAAGTAAAATGCAATTTTCAAATTTTAGTTTCCTCTATTTGAATTTTTAAAGATTAAATGTTCTATAAGAGAAATGTATTTTTTTAAAAATGTATTTGTTCGATATCACAAAATTTAAGATTTCCAAAACTATACACTTCCTCAAAACATTGAAAATTTAAATATCAGGTACAGAAGTCCATTTCTTAAACAAGAATGTTTCATCTTGATTAGTAACTTAGAACTTTGCAGTGTAATAAACATGAGGTGCGTAATTGTGTGCAAATTCATCTTATTAAGTGAAATTATTGCTATGATTATTTTTGTGAAATAATTATTCATTTATTAAATATTTTTTATTAAATGGGCTGGAGTAAATTATTTTAGTTCCTTTATTGAAGTACGATACATTATATTATTATTGCAGATTTCTTAGTCTCATGGATTTGTCTTTTTTGTTTTTGTTTTTTTGTTTCAGATGATGAAACTAAAAATATGGACCAGATTTCATCCTCGTCAAGAATACTAATTTCAAATGAGATGATAACCATATAACAACAATGTGAGTCTTTCATAATTCTTGGTTTTCATATAGTAAGTAAATAAAATGGAAATAATGTAATTGATGACTGCTATTTTTATGAAGGCAGGGAGTATATAAAAGATTTATTAATGTACCTAATATGGGACTTTTAAGTAAACTTCGACTTATACAATTCTGTAATACAAATTTATTTCTATACATGATGTGATTCTTTTTCACACAAGTTTAGAAAAATAAAACTTATTTAATTGTGATTTTTAAGGCTTACCTTGACATAGTGCTTGAGACAATTTTTTCCCTCAGTAAATCACCCCTTTTATGTTAATATGCTAGAGGCTTTTAAGCCTGTAGCATAATTATTACGTGTGGTTGTTATTCTTTAGTTGATTTATAAAGGAATGGTAGTTTTTAAAAAAATATGCTAGTCTTTGTTATCTATATCAGTTTTAATTGTGTTCAACTATGATTTGTAACCTTTCTTGGAGGGTTTTGAGAATAATTGTGTCCAAAATAACCATTAATATTAAATTGCCTTAACCCCTTATCTCAACAAATAAATGTTAAAGTATTTTAATTTGATTCTATTGTAATCAAATACAAAGTTCCAAGATTGATGCTTAAAACTACTTAATAATATGTAATTAAGGCAGGTAAAGGGCTTAAATTTCGAAAGTGAGTTCAGAGTATTTGAATTCTGCTGGTTGCTGAGAAATAGGTTATTCTTGTATTCTCAAAGTGTATATAAAGGACTAAAACATGTATGTGATAAATTTTCAACTTAGGTTTTATCGTGCATCACCTCCACCCCCTGCTGGGGAATCCTCTCGGATGCTGGGGGAACAGCAATCCATGCAAATCAGCAGATCACATGCAGGGCAGCATGTGATGATGCTAGCTGATCCTGGAACAACAGATGAATTCAAGCTTAAAGCTGCCCAAGAACTGAGCGAAAATTTTGAGGTATGACTGCTTAGTAATATGTATAAAAAAAGAATTAAATCATATATATATATATATGTGTATATATATATATGTGTATATATATATATGTGTATATATATATATATATGTG